GTTTCCCACGTGTTGTGTCGCTTCATAATTTTTCTAAAAGAAATCAAAATACAAATACTTTTTTACCGAATAAAGGTTAAATTATTTTTCTTGACTGAAGCCCTTGAAGTTTTTTTAATATCTTTGAGTAAAATTTCCTAATTTTTTGGAAATGATTGAAACTAAAGTCACTGAATTAACTATATAATATATACATGGGTACATTAGAAAGACGGTAAAAAGATAGATTAGATATATGTGGGTTCGATAATTGTTCTTTTCATCTCTTTACTCTTTAGTCTTTTACAGGTAATATATGCAAAATCTCTTTTGATATAAACTTGTCTTCATATTTTGTGGACCTTCTTTTTGTATTATTATTTAGTTATTTTTATATTTTATTCATTTTTTCGTTTTGCAAAAAAGCCAAAAAAAAAAAAATAGAGGAAATGAAACAGATGTAATCTGCTCTATTGCCTTTTTCCTGATTCTACTCCACAAACGTTATCGTCTGGATTTAGGTTTTGTCTTTTTCGTCGACATAATCTTCCCTAACCTTAATCTTAATTTATTCCCATGTTTACAAGCTTTTAAATGATGAATGTTTTCGTTTCAAGATTTTTGTTTTATGTAAAAATTATGATATCGACATAAAATAACATAATTAATTTACCGTGCTTGTTAAGAAATGAACAGCTTTATAAACTTTGATTGATAAGCATATACCATTACATATCCCTTCCTCTTGATTAACATAACCATTTTTGAGTATAATATTCATATCTTTCAATTAAAAAGGGTCTTTAGTGTCTAAATAGCTTTATAAATCGTGTTGATTTCAATTCTAGATAAAGACTTGGAGATAGATATGATCGAAATTTGTGGTTGTGGACATGTATTAGAGCACCACAAAAAAAAAAAAACAAGTGGGCTATTTTGCTTTTTAACCCTACTTTTTTTTTAAATCACTTTTTATTTGCCTCTTAATTTTTTTTTTGGTCGATTGCCTCTTTAATTAATTTGATATAATGAGAAAGTTATGAGATATAGGATTTATCTGATTTATACCACTAGATGCATCATGGGAATTTTTTTGCATGTCTCGTAGTCGTATAGCCTAATGATAAGTTATATAATTAAGATATTGACATTTTGTAGTGCGTTAGTTAATAACTAAATAAGGTTTTAAGATGCATACTATTTTCCACATCGAATTAATAGTCATTGTTAAACATTTGTATCACGTTTAAATAATAAAGAAGTTACGTTAAACATACATGATGCAGCATAAAAATATGTTTAGAAAGATTAAGATACTGTACAGTAGCTTCGATTGTTTCATTGTATTTGGCTGTACGTTTATGTGTTGTAAGATAGTGTGTGTCGCTTTCCGAGTCTACTCATAATTGTTATTGTTTTGATCAAAATTTATTTGCAAATCCTAAGTTTGTAACATTGAAACAAGAATCAAAATGGAAAGATAAACATCTTTGTGGGTTTTAATTTTATATATTGGCCCCTATCTTTACCTTAGTGCGTATATGAGAAGGTATACATGCATTTTATCACAAAAATATGTGTGCATCCATAAATCAGATATGTCCTCATGCTTATTCTGAATTTTTTATTTTGACGAATATTAAACATTGTTTTCAATCTGAGTTTGTTTTGAGAAATTTCAAAAAATACCACTTTTCAAGTGCCATTTTACAAAAATACCATACTTTTAAAATCTTTACAAAAATACCACTTTTTAAAA